GTTTATGATACCAAATATTTCTCAATAATTAATTCAATAAATGTTACAGGGTGTAAAAAAAGTACCTTACTGTCTATTGTGTATATACGGGTAATAAACGGCAAGAGGCGCTTAGTGAGGGACGCGGGGGTGGGGGGGGGGGGGGGTCAGACGCCATCCCTGGCTACGCCACTGTGTAGAAGCGGCTTGTTTATTGGTCGTTTTTAGTTTTAGAAGTTTCAGTTTTTTGAAAGCAAAGCCATAACAGGATAATAATCAATTTGTAATAATTTAGCAACCCAATTGGAGGGGATAAACCGGAGGTGGATCGCTTCCCTAAATGTTGGCGACACAAAATTTTGCTTACAAGTCTTATCTATGTCAATTACTGATCTCAAAAATAAATGGATAAACAAAGAACGCTTTTAATGCTATTAATTTACGAGGTCATAATGTGAACAACTGGGACAGCTGTGAGCGTGCGCAGTAGACACATGCACTGTGCGTGCGCAAAATATAGCCAATGAAAATGAAGGATATTTCAAAATTTAGAGCAGTTGTTCGAAAGATAAGACACTGCGCAGGCGTTAGGCTGTTCCATTGCACAACTGTTCGTAGAATAGTGACCTCAAATTTTCGCACAAGTTTAGCCAATCAAGCCGTACGATTGTTTATCCATTTATTTTTGAGATCAGTGGTATTAATATGTCATTGAATCATCCAAGCATTTTCTACCTATTGAGAAGCTTTATTCTGAAACTGATAATCAATCATAATTTACTGAAAAATGGAGACAAATTATATTCTCATTTCAAAATTTCTAACCCTCCCTTTCTGGTTGAATCATTAGCAACACTTATTCTACTTACTTCGAGTATTAACCCGGATTAAATAAATTCGACTTTAAAATTAAAGACATATAAAGACAGACTGTTTTTCGAGTCCAAGAAGCTAGCTCCTATAACCAACGATTCTCATCGTCTGACAAATATTTAACTACAACGTTAGTTTACAAATCGTCTCCAGTGCTAGATTAAACCTCAAAACCGCTGACTATTTCCGCTTTCTTTTGTCCCGGCACTTAATTCCTATTCACACCGTTAATTATCCTCCTTTTTCTCCAGGACTTTGTCCTGTTTACGTTTCTTTGTTTCTCCGCAAGCCCTGTCTCGAGAGTTAGGAGTACGGATTAAATTGCGGGTGTTATTGTTCCTTTAAAAATCGATTCCGGGTAGTTTCTCTGCGGGCATTTTCGCCTAGGTAATGATCACAATTAAAAGGCCAAGGAATATTAAAAGCGGGTATTAGATTTGCAATTTTAACAAATAAACTAGTTCTAGTTATTGTTAAAGTGGTAATTTTACGTTGAAAATGTTTATACTAGTTTTCTTTTATATATATAAGTCAAGATTCACGTTTCGGAAAACCCGAAAAGCATTCGGAGCGGAGATAAAATTAAAAATTCACGCGGGTCCTGATAAAATTTTCCACCGCCGAGTTTCTCTGAAAGGGTTATTACGTTCCCAAATAATTTATCGCCTTCGGAAACGGAAAACATTTTTCTGTGTCCCTCGTCAAGCACCGACACCAGCATCCATAGAGGAGAAGTGGCGATTATTTTGTTTACAGCTGCCGGGCTCCGATAAAGTGTAAGAAAAAAGCCTTTGACTGAAATTGGAAAATGCGAAATTTGTTTTTCTTTGTTCATTTTGGTTATCTGAAGATGCAGATAGGGTCCCGGACATTGAATCGGGTCGTCCGGAAATTGTTTTTGATTGAATTTTGTTTCAGGGTGAGTGAAATTTGCACAAACTATACAGAGAGTCGACCTTCTCGCCTTGAGGATCTTTGGTAAAATAGATAACACTTAAGTCCAGCCTGGAAAACTTTGTATTCAGAGTTGATTTATTCTGCCAATTTGAGAAGGTATCGTCAAAATAAGTATCTTGCCTTTCTGCAAGATAGTTGACGATCTATCTTGTACGTAGACGTGCATGTGGCCCATTGTACAATCCCTCTCTTGGTGCATTTTTAGACTTTGTATAAAAATCTTTGAATGTCTCAGACCTCTTTACTCCAGCCAGTCATCTTGGAACTGGTTGTGACACCCTATCCCATCAGAGACTCGCCTGTGAATGAAATAAGCCGTTCGGCTTGGGGTTTTGGCTCTAGCCAGATGGCAGGGATGACAACCTTGTATTCTCTAGAGGAAGCTGAAGTTTTTGACATTGCATCCCTTGGTTAGAAGGGGGTCCTGTCTGATAGTATCAGTCCAGACCCTTGTATGTCCCATGTTCAGACCTCTATGAACCCATTTTACCCAATCGTTGAGTTTGAGGACGCCTGTGGTGGCTCTTATTTGACTTTGCATAAAGATCTTTGACTGTCTGAGGCCTTTTTGATTCACCAAATCATCTTGGAATTGGTTATGACACCCTCTCGTCAGAGTCTGTGTACCAGATGAGCCCCTTTGACTTGAAATCCTGACTCTAGGCAGTTATCTCTTGCAGGGATGACGAACTTGTATGGCCTAGGAGATTGAAGCTTTTGACATTGCATCCCTCTAGTGAGAAAAAGGTCCTGTCTGTTAAAATCTGTCCAGGCCCTTGTATGTCCCATGTTCAGACCTGTATGAACCCATTGTACCCAATAACTGTGCTTGAGGATGCCTGTGATGGCTTTTAGTTGGCTCCTGTTAAGTTTTAGGCTTTGTACTTCTTCGTAGTATGAAGGATTTTGTATAAAGATCTTTGGATGTCTGAGGCCTCTTTGCTCCAGCCAGTGATCTTGAAATTGGTTGTGACACCCTCTCCCAACAGAAACTGTATAGGAAAGACCTAGACAATAAAAAAATTGGGAGTTCCCTAGAGGAAGTAAGAGGGACCTTTCATCCCTTGCATACAACGCGGATCAGCCGCCATATACAAGTTATCCGTAAAAAGACCTAATCAAAAAGGTATAGAAGAGATATAGGTGTGCGGACGAACACACCTAGGAATGAAATTATCCCAAAAATGGCTTTCTCCATTGAAATTACCGGTATTCCTCGAAGAACCACCCGACACTAACTCCTCCCCCGTCTGTATACCAGATGAGCCCCTTTGGCTTGATGTCCTGACTCTAGCCAGTCATTCCTTGGAAGAATGACGACCTTGTATTCTTTAGGGGGGCTGAAGTTTTTGGCATTGCATCCCTTGGTGAGAAGGGTGTCCTGTCTGATAGTATCATTCGCCCTTGTATGTCCCATGTTCAGACCTCTATGATCCATTGTCCCCAATCGTTGAGTCTGACTGAAGCCTCCCGGACCTGTGTTTCTGCAAAGAGTTAGAGAGGCATTATTCCCAGTATGACCTCCATTGCCAACTTGGTTACCAAATCCGGGTTACTCTGTGGACTACAATTTTTGAGTCTCCTTACTTTTATCCAAAATGGTGGTTGGATTCCTTGGCAAAGTATCTGTCCGCATATATCAGTTTCACATTAACCCTGGGGAAAATCTTTCCAGAAGAACATGTCAACTTATTGTTTGAAAAATGTCTTCAATAATCTTTGCTCAAGCACTTATTGAGTACCGTTGATGTGGAAATCTCCCTGTCCAAATCACCTAGATTTTGTAATGCCCAAATTTGTTCATTTAGGCCATGAATGTTAGTTTGCTCGCTGATAGCGATGAAGAACTTCGATGTTCTGCCACATAACTTACATGTAGATTGAAACTTTCAATTCCATTCCATTTGAAAGTGCTATTTTTCGATCACCTGTTTCTCGTAATCTTCTAGAAGAATTGCGTTGAATCTTTCAGATTACAAATGAATATTGTTGAATAACACACACAATTTTTCTCCTTAAAATTACATCAGTTTTTTTAAAATTGGTGATAAATCACCTCGTATAATGCCTGGCTAAAGCTAAACCCACGATTCATTTCTACTGTTTCATTCTAGAATATTTTAGGAAAAATCTAGCACATCACTAAACTAGAAGTTGACGAATTCACCACTTAATTTAATCAAAATAAGTGCTCCCATTCCATTCTAATCACATTACTTTCTTTCTTTGACAACTTGTTTGTCACAACATAATCGGACGGACAAAATAATGACCGACCATTTAGGTAATGAGAAAAAACACGAACTCGTATCGTTAATTTCCCGAATACGAGCGGAGCTGTTGCATGTCCGACCCATTAGGAGTTCACCTAAACGGGAAACATTTTATGATTCAATCGATTGATAACGTTTTACACAGAGGAGACCTTCGTTTTATAGGGACATTTCAATCGTCCGTCCTGTCCATTGGTTTTTTGTTTCAAACAGCTTGTGTGGCTCGTTTGATTTGGACAATTGGATGCGAAATGTAATAATTGGACATTGAAATGATTTTTTTTTTTGTTCTTTTATAACGAAATTCTGATGTTATATTCCCCAAATTTTTTGGTTTCATTGTATATCAATCAGCTTGATTTTTATTTAATTTGTTAAATGTAGCGTATTTTTCTTTTGCCTCGATTTGATTATACGCAACGTCTACTCCTAAAAATGATGTCGAGCAAAAAGTTTTTTTTTCTGAAATATTGTTCCTTTATAAACCAATTTCTTGTGAAGATTTATTTTGCCAATTAAAAGTAATGAAACACTAAAATGAAATATCATAAAACTAAACCTCAAAAACATTCGGATCACAAAATAGTGTATTTCTCTTTTATGTTTCGACACTGGCGGTTTCTATATTCGCAGAATTCGTATGTCATTAAATTGAGTGAAAATGTTTCTCTTGAGTGCTTTGTATGCAATCCATTCAAGCATAAAACATACATAAACAGACAAAAACTACGAAATGAATGCATGCTCTGAGCTTTTGCATATTTAAACAGTTTAAATGTTTGCATGTTTTGATAAAATATACATCATTTTAATTGCAAAAGTCTGATTTTGTTAAATAAATAAAGAATTCGAATTTAAATAAATAAATTGTGTGTCGTATATGTTTTGATAATGTCACCAAAATTGTTATGATTTCAGATTCCAGCATCAACATCACGGAAAATGACAGAAACTCGGCGGAAAAGCGCCGACTGTTGGGTAATAATGGGCCCTCGGGAGTCCTTCATCAAAGCAAGGCTTCACATAATCAGACGCCTAATGAAAGGATATTCAATGACACGTCTGGTTTAGCCGAAAGCAACAAAAGCGAATACCGGCTGCCTCCTCCGCAATTTCAACAGGGCGACGTTAATATGACGGAGAATATGGCCGAGTGGAACTCTTCAACGGTAAGAAATTTGAATGTAAAATTCAATTTTTAAGCTTTAGTTGAATTCGTTTATCAGATCAATATGTACTTTTGCATTTATTATGTTTGCATAGGCCAAGAAGCCTGTCATGAATGGGGGATTTTTTTTTGGAAATAATAAATAAAAATCCCATCTTGGAAAATCTGTTTCATTAAATATTTCCCGTGCTTTATCAAATTAAACGAAAAACTTTTTTCTAGAAAGTTCGACATTTTCATTTGAGGCATCTTTTTTGCTTTACAGCCCTCTAAAATGTTGGTAAATTTAAGGCGGGGTCAGGCGTACTTGCGTCCCGATGCACTGCAGCCTTAAAGCTTATTGTGCTTAAGCAAGTCCCGTCTCTTTGACGAGATCAAGCAGCTTGCTGGCAAGTTTCTCATGTGTCACAGTCGTATATTATGTGTAAGACGGTTTCCTCCTCTTCACCACAGTCTTCATGTCGGGCCATTGTAGGCTCTCATTTTCAGCACATGCGCTCTAAGATGGCAGTGTCCTGTTAGTAGTCCTACCACCAGTCACATCTGAGTGCGCGTTAGTGATACTACTTCAGCTGTCAGCCTCTTACCAATATCCCCTCTGAGTCTTCGTTGGTTGATTGTAGGGGGGATCTAGGCGCTGTGGCCTTTCATGTATTGCAGCCTGTTCACTTATTGTGCACCCCAGTTTCTTTCTTGCCGTAAAAGAGTCCTGCTCCCTTGGAAAAGACTTTCAGGCAGTAGGTAGTCTATCGCCGGTCTGTATTGCTCCGAAGGATCTGTATTTTTTGTTTGATCGGGTCATTCATATATGATGTGAAAAACTTTTCCGGCTTCCTCTCCACATAGTCTGCATTCAGTGGGTCCATTGAATATCCCCATCCTGTGCTGATGCTTCCTTATCCTGTTAATAGCGCTATCACTTTTCTCAGCGTGTGCACGTAAGTCGTAGCACGTCAGTTGTTAGTTTCGTTGAAGGTTTTGCAGATCGATCCCTTCCCAGGCTATCTGCTTTTTCGTTGTCTTCTATCCCCAAGTGGCCAGGAACTTATAGGAGTCGAACCTTGATTTCTTTAGTAAGCTGTTACGTACTTTCAACAAAATCCTAATAATATTGGAGATTTTATACAAATAGTTCCCTTTTTTCAGTGCTAGGCCAAATCAGGCAAGGACAGAGTAGTAAAAGACCAAAGGCAGCAAAAATATGTCGAACAATCTCCTAACTTTCAAGTTCTATAATCCTACGAATCTCCGTTACTGTTTTAGGGGTGGGGATATTCAAAATTACTTTTACCTTCTCAGGGTCGACAAGAAGACCAGAAGAGTTAACAATATATCCGAGGTACTTCAATTCCGGCTCACAGAAAATACACTTATCCTTATTTAGTGTCAGTCCGGCCAAGGTGAGACGAGTAATAACTTCACGGAGAATGTTAATGTGTTCCTCAAACGTAGAAGTGCAAATGATGACGTCATCATGGTATACAAATACAGGCGCCTCCATTTCCACACCAATGAAACGGTCAATTAACCGCTGCCATACTGCAGGGGCATTGGTAAGGCCAAAAGGCATTCGTTTGAATTGAAACAAGCCACGGATAGGAACAGTGAACGCAGTAAGTGGCTTTGATTCTTCGGAGATAAGGATTTGCCAATAGGCAATTTATCCACTGTGGCAGAGACGTATGGAATAGGGTATGAGACAGGGACGGTAACTCGGTTGAGTGCGCGGTAGTCCACATAAAAACGCCAGCCACCGCTCTTCTTCTTAATCATAACCAAAGCGTATCCGATGGTTCAACTATACCATCGGCCAACATTTTCTCGAGTTCTGCATTAACCTCGGTTTGCAGGGCGGGAAGGTACGGTTCTCTGGAACTATAGATAACGTCAACGGTGACGGGCTCAACAACAGAAGATGTCTGAGCTATAGGCTCAATGTAAGACAAGTATTCAGAGGTATCCAACATATGCACGTTGTAGCTAGGCTTGTGATAAGCAAGCTCGGGCTCCAAAAGCTGACGATAATTTGTTGGTGGAGGGACAAAACGTTGGAGTCGCAATTCAGTTTCCTCTACTAACCGACTGAGGCGCAGAAGTTCTTGCACAGAAGAAATCTTATGCGTGGCTAAAGGTCCCTGAAGATATGGCAAAATATTGCGTCGCAACAACTGAATTTTAGTTGCTTCTGTTAGTGCTTCGGGTAACTTATTGAAAAGGTTTTGCATAGCCACGACAATCTTCTCATGGGATCCCTGAGTTCTTCGACGGATTTCATCAAAAGAGAAAATTCGTAGTCGTAGGGGAGGAATGCATCCTTCAATTGGGAAATTAAATCATCCCAATGCTGGAAATTGCAAGTCCGGTACCACAGCATAGTAAAAAGCTCAGGAGCTGAACGAAGTAGTTGCTTCTTAGAAAAGCCTCTAGAAATTCTCATTTCCTCAACTCTTTCCAGAAAATTCGACAGGCTACCCTTACCATCAAATTTTAAATTTAAGCAACTAATATCCTTAAAAACAGCGGTAGCTGACTCATATGAATAAGATGGATAATGTGAACCAGGCAGTGGCGAAAACTGCAACTCATCTAATCTTCTAGCCATATCAGCCATAGAACTGGTTCCATTATGCGTCGAATTAGCATTCTGAGGTAATGAACAAAAGTTATTGGGCTCGGCAAAACGAACAGAAGAACGTTGGTGAGGTAAGGCAATGTCACGATTAGGGATCCTATATGGAGTTCGATCTGTCGGACGTAAAGAGGACTGAACAGGTTCTTGCGGTGATCGAGAAGATCTTAGATGATTTGGGAAATTCGCTAAAGGAGCATCAATAGGAGAGCATGCAAGATGAACCGTATTGTTATTATTCTATGGGGAGACTGATTCACGCCAGGTAGAATGGGCAGGAAGGTCATGAGCAGTTGAAGCTTAATGACGAGATAAACCACGAACGTTTGACCATTGGTCGAGAGACTGACTACTATTCCACGATTCGAGAGTAATGATTGGTGCTGGAATAATTCTCCTACCATCGAATGGACGTTCTGCATGTTCTGACAATGGATGGCTATGAACAGACTAGTTATGTTGGGGTCTTGGTGAGGATGGTTCATCGTTCAATGAATTCAAATAATTAGAAACGTGAAGCTGCTCTGGAATGACTTGGTGAACATCCACTTCGTGTTCCTGTGATTGGGTCTCATCAATGGATTGAAGCCGCTGACATAGAGTCCTATGTCGTTCAATCAAGTTGTTTGAAGAACTTGATCTGGTTCATCAGTAGGATGAATACGAGCTATCCGTATTCTAATGTGTTCTAAGAAAGTTGAAATTTTCCATAGTTCAACTTCGCGGTTATCGTGATTGAATCCCAAAATATCCCGTTCAACCGAATAAATTTGGCTCCACACAAGCACAACTCACTTACGGTCTCGAATGGTGACGATGATGGTGCATTCACTCTACCTTCACGTTCAAGTTTCAACGCAGCTCTGAGATCTGATCTACGTTGGGCAAAAGTTGTTGCTGTAGGCAACCCTCGAACGGTTAATTCATACTTGAGTTCCTCGTTTCCCAAACAGTTGACATCCATTTTGCTTCAAGATTATTCGAAACAATTTTAATTTAAGAAAGAGGAACCCGACCATAAGCTCAAAAAAACAAAACAACAGAAAAAAAAATATCCCAAAGTGCCTGTCAAGAGCAAAAACACAAAAGACTACCAAAATACCCTAAATGTAAACCGAATTACACCTATACCTACAAATACAGAAAGACAAATATATGGCCTCTATTAAAAAAATTTAGAAAAAAAAAATAAAAAAAATTGCTAGAAAAAAGTAATTAAAAATAAAGGACTGAAAACTACCCTTAACCAGTTGGGCGCCTAATTATTAGAATGCCTAATGGGCAATCTAATTTATTAATATACAAAAAGGTGACTAAGGTACTCCAATAACCAACATCGAGCAAATGAAGCTTCGTTTTTAGGGTGTCCGACTAACTCTCACACAGCGGAGAGTGGGGTGGGTAAACTCAAAAAGGCGCCACCTGTTTTATTTCCCTGAACGGCGCCCCACGTTGGGCGCCAAATTTGTTACGTTTTCTCAACAAAACCCTGATAATATTGGAGATTTTATACTAATAGTTCCCTTTTTTCAGTGCTAGGCAAAATCAGGCAAGGACAGAGTAGTAAAAGACCAAAGGCAGCAAAAATATGTCGAACAATCTCCTAACTTGATCAACCGAAAATTAGACACGTAATATTTGGGAAGTGATACGATAGGAATCCAGCACTTTCAGAATTGCTTGGCTATCTATGAGAATAGCTACATTATGGTATTTACACCTTCGCGTAATGCTTTATTAGATGTACTTATGTAGAGCGAAGACTATCTAGTGGTTCCATTTACAAGCTGACATTCATCTTGGAACGTTCCCCATATATCCCTGCCCCCACACCATTTTCCGTTTTTGAGCTGTTGGTGTACATAACCCGTCCATCAAGTAACAGAGGGAGCATATTCTCATCCCGCATGTCTCTACCGCATCTACGTCTTCTGATTCCCAACCATCTCTGTCAATCCAGGCATCCTCCTCTAAGCCTCTGCCTCTCATTTCTTCGTCTACTCCACTTCTCCAGCTTCTTCTTCGTCTGCCGCGTCTTCTTCTTCTCCCTGGCTTCCACTCAAGAATTTGCTTCGGTATTCTTGTATCTGCCATTCTTTGTACATGTCCGAACCAAATCAGCTGTAGCCCTTCTTCCATGGCCCGCAAGATCACCAGACTTATCGCCTATTGAACATGTCTGGGACGTGATAGGTAGAAGCCGAGGCAGTTGCCACATCTTCTACTGTATGTACAACATCTACGTCATGAGACAAGATTAGGGTTTCCATACGTCCGGATTTACCCGGACATGTTTGGGTTTTTGGGTGCCCGGGGAAGTCCGGCCGGAATTCGGATCAATGTCCGGAAAACTCGGAGATTGTGAAAACAACCTAACTTTGTTAAATATTTTAATCATTACGATACGTCATCTCTACCAATATCAATGAACACAAAATTCAACCTTCATAAAAATTTAAATTATTTTTCGGTGAAGTCCGGAAGTCCTTTGTCCTGATTTCCATAAACCTTTATGGAAACCCTAGACAAGATTAGCCTAAGAGAACCTTCCACAGGCAGGTATCGATCATCTGATTCGCAGCGTTCCACGTAGAGTTACAGAATGTCAAAACTTACGTGGAGGCGCAACTGACTATTGAATTATTAAGAATTCCTTTCAATAAATTTGTTCGAAACTTTCGATTGTTATTCATATTTATCTTAACTATTTCCCAAAATATTATTAAAATATATTTACATTTACTGGGTGTTGCAATTTCTATGTCACACAGTATATATCGTTGTTAAATAGCTTATTTTATACTTTTTCGGTACTTTATGTTTATTTATGCAGAGTTTATTGGTACCATTCTCTATAAGTTTTCCATATATTTCTCATTGGCCTCAAAAAAACAGGGTCGCACTCGATCCTATACGGTTATTCAAAGTTGTAAGTCATGTGATCCGATTCCCTTTCCAATAGTTCGCTGTCTATGACATTTTGTACTATTATGTGTCCGGCTGTGTCTTCCAGACTCCTGCCGTTTTCATTCTGTAGGCCGTGTTTTGCTCCAGATGTAAACAGACTATAGTCGAGGTGTTGATAAGTCGACCACAGCTGATTGGCTGCAGACTTGTTAGGACTTGTTTAACTGAACTCTCGGAATTTGCGTGTATGTTTTCAAGATTCATGATGAGTCTGCAAATCTGCATAGTATAGCTAGCACCCTGATTGACCAAGTTGCTTTTGAATGTTTGTACAGCATTTCTCGACTTACTCAGATATTGGAATAATGATTCACATCGTATATAGTTTGCATTGTCCTCCTGCTTGCAATTCACAGGCTTAACTTTAAATTCCTGCTTCTTGTAATCGGCGCACTCCGCCGTACGATGGCTTCCTGCACATTTTACGCATTTTGGGTTTGTCTTGCACGTACCACTGCCATGATTGTATCCTTGGCAGTTGTAGCACTGCGAACATCCTTTCTTCTTGGAATAGTTTTTCTATCGGATTAAGGTTGGTCCTAGTTCCCTTGCGTTTCTAATGTCGCTTATCTTGGTTTCATGTGAAAACGACACCAGGTATGAAAAGGACGTTCCTCTCCTGCTTTGTAGTCTGAACATGTCAACTACGTTTAAATTAAATTCCATTTTGACTAGTAGGATGGACGCCTGGATGTCCAGGCTCGGGGGGCCTTTCATAACCATTTTTTTTAAATCTTTTATTCAGTTGTGGTATAGTGTAGTATTCCAGGAGTTGGACTTCCTGGTTCATATGTTTTCATGTTCTGGCAGGTGAATACGAAACATTATTAGTCGCAGACTTGCTAGGACTTTACAGGCTGTTAAGTATACAAGCCTGGAAAGTGTTATCTAAACGTGAGCAATAAAGGAAACAGGAGAAAAAATCAAAATTTATATATAATTTTTATTCAAGCATTTCAATTGCCTGCTCCGATATCACAAATGCGTCATTTTTATGATTTTGATAAGCTTGATAAACAAAGAAAGAAAAGACAGAACCAATTTTGGTACTTGCCCTTTTTCTCTTTTGTCTTGGGACCGAAACAGGTCGTCCGGATTTTTAGAAGTGATCAAAAATCTTAAAACTTTACCTTTGTTTTTGGCTATCGAGTCAATATTCTTGAAAAACAACTAGCCAGAAGAGTGCTCACTCCAGTCTCCTAGAAAGTTTCCTGGAAAACCAACCGATTGTTGACTTTTGTGAAGATTTTTGAAAGTGAGGTTACTATCGGCCGTTCAGGTATGAAAATTTCTTTTTCTCTCTGATGAATGAGTCCTTATATCCCCTCAATTCGTTCATGCACCTTCGGCAGGACGCAAAATCCGTGACTGTACTCCTACAAGTGAAAACTGACAAATTTGAGACCACGCTGTCCTGAAACTCAGAGCAAATCTGGGTCCCCTTTTCAAGGAAAGTTTGTGTCCTGTAAGAAGTTGATCCCCAACCATTATTTGGTTGTCTCCAGCCAGTTTGGAACCTCCAGAGCTCAAATTTGTGAAAACTTCCGAGGCTTTTCAAGGATTCCGTCCAGGCTTGTATAATTACTTACCTATGGGTGTCTTAAACGTGCCATCTTAACTACCGTAACTTATTTTAACCTTTTCTTTATCGCCCCCTATCGTTTAGCTTTATTAGCTAATTGATATCTATGTCGATTAAGTTACCGACGTCAATTGTTTACCGTATAGTAGTGTTTAGCTAAATTATTAATTCAATTAATTAAATATTATCAGAGTCAGATATTAGGTTTATTATTGTTTTCTTTATCATTATTTATTATCCAATAAGTATGCATTATTATAATTATTATAAATTTATTTCCTTAATATCGAGTACTGATCGATATAATATATTGTGGATCCATTAACCTTTAAAAGGTTTATTTAACTTTTCATTTCAAATCAATAATGTGGTAGTTTTACTAGGTAAACTAATGTAAAATCTTTAAGTAGTCAAATTTAAGTTTTATGTTTACCTATTTTGAACTTTAAAAGTAAGAAGGTTGAGCTCTTCCGGAAACCCTGACTCCTTAATTTCACCTAGCAGGTTTTTGATATTTAAAACTGCCTAGGGATTATTTATTACCTTTCTGCATTGATGATTCTGGCACTTTCTCGACGGCGCGTAGCTCGAATATCAAAAACGAAGCGGCATTTTGAAGATAATTTAATGTCCTTAAGAAAGATGTATCACAACATACCCCTTCCCATCTCGACCTAGGCAGTGTAGTGGTTAGTGTATCTGTTTCGCATGCGGCGGGTTGCGGGTTCGAATACCGGCTTGGGCATGATTGTTGGTTTGTTTTCAAAGCCGTAAACCTTGCTGGACTGTTTTCGATGGGCCACCCTGTATAATATATCAAGTGATATTTCTACAACAATATGGATAGCAGTAGAACAAGAAGTGCGGAGCTGAATTAATTAGCAAATTGCAGGCCCTTCCGATCATTTGGCCTTACCGAATCATAAAAAAATCACATCCATTAAAACTAACTTTTCTCTTCCAGGTTAAAACATCCATGTACAGAAATAACGAAAACCCCAACCGACTACTACATCCAGGTATGTTAATCTTGGCCGTAGGCGTCCTCGGTGGTGCAGTAACCCTTGCCACTTTGGCTGTGAGATTCAACACAAGAAAACGATGGACAGACCGAAGAGAATCTTCCGAAGAAATCCCAGTGACCAGTATATCGAGCGTCACCGAGTTGTGGTGACGTATGCGCGAGCCGGACGAAGAACGCGCTGCTTTGTCTGAATCTTTCATGACTTGAATTGTGTTTTGATAATAATAGAGAGAAAAAAGAATCATTTATTTTCGGCTAATAGTCTCTTCCTCAATCCAAATCGATTTGGTTTAGCGCCAAATCTAGAGTCGTAAAGTGTCTAGGAACATAAAAACAAATATCCAGCGGGAGTGGAGCGTTTCTATTCAGCTTGAACAATAGGATTTCGGCGAAATTATGAGGCGATATGTGTCTGCAAGAGAGAGCGTGATTTTTGGAATGACTGATGATTTTTTACTAAATGTAATATAACAAAAAAAAAAATTAATGTTTTATATTTGTAAAAGTACCATTGTAAGTAAGGAAATTAGAGAATATCTAAGTTTTTTTTTTTGTAAAAAAGCTGTGTTAGAATAAAGTTTGTTCATAAAATAGTAAAATATTAATAACGTTTGTATGTAAAGAAAAAAAACATTTGAGCATGAACCCCCTCGTTAAAATATAATGTACAAGTTTTATTTGGTTATCTAGGCCCTTATTCTGTGAAAATATCGTACACGAAATGTGATAGAATTTCAAATACCAAAATTAAAATTCGAATTATGAAAACAAGATTTTTACAGAATATAGGGACCAATTATTTCTAAAAGAATGAGCCTTTAAAACATTTATTGAAGCATCAAACATCCCTTCTTATCTTATCTCAGCAGTAAAATATTTAGTCTTTATCGTTAACAGATTTATTATTTCCAGTAACCCTTCCTTTGAATTTTGCACACAAAATAAGTATAATTATGTTTAAGCCAGCGATCTATTTTGTGTACTCTGATAATGTATGTTACTCGCCAAAACCTGATAAATTCCATTGTGTAAAATATTTCCAGAATATTGCATTTTGGACTAGAGCAGTAAAATTTTTTGGAAAAGCAAAAGATAAATATATGTATTTAAATTTTATATTGTGGGTTTTATTTTTACGTATATTTGATTTCGTAAATTATGAGTGTTGCAGAAAAACAATTTATAATATTCCCTGCCAAATGTTGCTGTTCAATAATTCACAGCTGAGCGATAAATATTGAAAATTTAAATGTGGAAACGGCATATGGTTTATGATGTGATAAGGGAAATAATTTTTATATTCTATTCATTCAAAATGGTGCCTCAAAACACAGAATAAGGCAGAACATACCTACTCAATTCTGGATACATTGTAACATGACATATTATCACCGAACATTCTCTTTTTATTTTTCGCCAAATATCTTAATAGTTCAGTGTATGGAGTTTGGGGCATTTGAACAAAATCCCAATATATTCCATATGAAAAGTCAATCAAATTACTTGAATAAGCTGGTTTTATAATGCAGAGTTTATGATTAGCGAACAAAAATTTAATTAAAAACCGACATCTACGATAAATCTGTAACGTACAGGCATTATCGCCTCTCGTATAACGAACAGGAAAAAGTATGAAAAATTATTAGTTCCCTGTTATCAGCTGATATAGGAGTCAAATTCTCCATTCACAAGCCCGATATGGCTTGTTGGAAAGGAAAAAGGCGAAACAAGACTATATGTGAATAACAAAAAATTGAACTCAAAAACTTTAAGGGATTAGTATTCCTTACCACGAGTAGATGATGATTTAGGAATGTTGGAAAAACTGCAATTATTTCACTACACTTGATATGGCTGGTGGATATCATCAGATACCCATGGCAGAGGATTCGAGACATAAAACAGCATTCGTAGCATCAGACGGGCAGTATGAATACCTTAGGATGCCTTTTGGGTTGGTCAATGCACCCGCAGTTTTTCAAAGAACTATAAATACGATCTTGAGATCCATGAGGTTCTCCATAGCATTAGCTTACATGGACGCTATATTGGTACCTTCCAAAAATTTTGTCACGGGACTCATAGCTCTGGACGACGTACTAGAAACCAGAAAGGCGTGAGTTACACTCAAGCTTTGACCTCACTGTGAAATATACACTAATTTAATTTGAAACTTACATAATTTTTTTTATTTATTGGGTTACTTATGTCAGGATTTGGTTGAGTTATATGCCTTATTTATTTCCTTCTCGGAATTATCAATTACCGTTTGCTGATTATTTTTTTTAGATGTGTTTCTGAATTTTCACCCTCCCATATTTTATGCAATTTTATTATTTAGTTTTTTAAAATTCAGTGGCGCCATTCCCATTCTATACTTATTAAACTATCAACCCACCCCTAATAATTAATATCTGAGCAAACCGAGCATATTATGGGCCTCATGATAATTCATGAACAAAAGGGGTTACAACCTGTAACGTACAAGCCTTATCGCCTCTCGTATAAGGAACGGAAAAAAGTACGAGAAATGTTTAGGTCCCTGTTATCAGCTGATATATTTAAGGAGTCAAATTCTTCATTCGCAAGCCCGATATTGCTTGTTGGAAAAAAAAAAGGCGAAACAAGACTATGTGGGGATAACAGAAAATTGAACTCAAAAACTGTGGGGGATTCGTACCCCCTACCACGAGTAGATGATTATTTAGAAACGTTGGAAAAACGACACTTGATATGGCTGATGTATATCATCAGAGACCCATGGCAGAGGATTCGAGACTTAAACAGCATTCGTAACATCAGACGGGCAGTATGAATACCTTAGGATGACTTTTGGGTTGGTCACTGCACCCGCAGTTTTTCAAAGAATTATAAATACGATCTTGGGATTCATGAGGTTCTCCACAGCATTAGCTTGCATGGACGATATATTGGTACCTTCCACAAATTTTTGTGTCGGGACTTATAGCTCTGGGCGACGGACGTACTGGAAATTTTTTTGAGGAAGGCGTGAGTTACGCTCAAGCTTTGACCTCACTGTGAAAAATACATTATTTAATTTAAAACTTACATAATTGTTTTATTTATTGGTTTGCCTATGTCAGGATTTGGTTGAGTTATATGCCTTATTTATTTCCTTTTCAGAATTATCAGAAAATTTTTTTTAGATGTGTTTCTGAATTTTCACCTTTCCATATTTTATGCAATTTTATTACTATTATTATTTTTTTTAATTCAGTGGCGTCCTTTCCATTCTGTACTTTTTCAACTATCAACTCACCCCTAATAATTAATGTCTGAGCAAACCGAGCATATTATGGCACTCATGTTAATTCATGAACAAAAGGGGTTACAACCTGTAACGTACAGGCCTTATGGCCTCTCGTATAACGGGAAAAAGTACGAGAAAGGACCCTGCCCAAAGTATACGGAAATTGTGTTTACGTCAGAATTAGCTGAATTTTGTGTACAATGTAGATCACGCCTTCCTGATTAAAAGTTACCATCGCACTAATCCTGAAAAATTACTCCTTTTTGAGAAAATTAATTTCATAGGTAGCAAGTAAAACGCTTGGACATTGTCATGGACGTTCAATGTAGCACGAATAGGTAAGCTTGTGGCACAGTGATGTGCTACATGGAGTAATTTTTCAGGATTCGTGCAATGGTAACTTTTAATCAGAAAAGGCGTGATCTACATTATATGAAAAATTTTGCCAATTCTGACATAAACACAATTTCCGTATACTTTGGGCAGGGTCCTTTATAAGTCCCTGTTATCAGCTGATATATTTAGGGATTCAAAATTTCCATTCGCAAGCCCGATAGTGCTTGTTGGAAAGAAAAACGGCGGAACAAGACTATGTGTGGATAACAGAAAATTGAACTCAAAAACTATAAGAAATTCGTACCCTTTACCAGGAGTAGATCATGATTTATAAATGTTGGAAAAACTGCAATTATCTCACTACACTTGATATGGCTAGTGGATATCATCAGATACTTATGACAGAGGATTTGAGACATAAAATAGCATTCGTAACATCAGACGGGCAGTATGAATGCTTTAGGATGCCTTTTGGGTTGGTCAATGCACCCGCAGTTTTTCAAAGAATTTTAAATACGATCTTAGGATCCATGGACGATATATTGGTACCTTCCACAAATTTTGTGACGGTACTTATAGCTCTGGGCCACGTACTGGAAGCCATTAGAAAGGCGGGAGTTACGCTCAAGCTGACAAAGTGTTAGTTTTTCTAAACAAAAATTGACTACCTTGGTCACGAAATCAGTGTTACAGGTATACGGCCTGGAAAAGCGGAAACCAAGGCAGTTAAAGAATTTCTGGCACCCAAGAACGTGCATGCACCAAGTCCGACAGTTAATTGGTCTATGCAGCTATTTTCGTAAATATGTCAAAGGTTCACAATTAATATCCATAATGATATCTATATGGCTAGCTATCAGTCTTGGATCTCAACCCAACGCAAATCTAGCACTTTCTAAACAAACACAAAAGCGCTGAGAATCTCGAAGCCCAATTCCAAGAAAACAAAATTTACATACGCAGCGCAAAAGCGTAAATACTGTTTCTCATTATCTGGTTCGCTGCATCGTGCAATTTTGTTCCGGATCTTAAAGTAATTGCCGATTTTAAAGGAGGAAGGCAATTCTATTAATTTACAACTATTCAACAGCTGATCACGTAGGCCCCAGTTAAGAAAGTGTTTTACGCGGAACGCAAATAAAGCAACACAACAAAGTTCCGCTAACTGCGTTTGCGACTTCACAAACTTCCGTAGCTGCTAGGACGGCAAAATGTTTTCGGTTTAATGCTAGAGAGGTAGCGAAACATTTAATTAGCGTGCTAAATAAATAATCCGCTTAAAATTTATCGAGTTTATATTGAAAGCGCTGTAGCTGGAAGACATCAAAGAAGTTTATTTTCAATTAGGTTGGTATAAGGTAGAGGAATTGCAATTTTCATTATAAGATGCATTAATTATTGGCACAAGCTATGACTATACCAGAGATAAGTAGCTTGAAATTCAACTGGTTGTTGACATAACTTTATTACAGGTCGTCTTGACGTGAGTGGAGTAACAAATCGATATAAGTCTGTAGAAAAATTTAGACTGAAAACAGCAAATTAGTTATGAAGAATTAAACTTATTGTAAAATATCCGGCAGCAGTTTCGAGATGGAATTTGTTGTTCGAGATCAATATGCGTTTAAAACTCGATTTTATTATAATATATTAACAAACTCCCAAATTCAGTATGCTTTCCGGCCACAAGTACCAGTGTTACAATTTAATTAACAAAGTTTTAATTTGTTTTTAATTTAATTAATTATGTTTTATGCATCGAGTTTAGCTTGAAAAAGTTGAACAATATTATAATTACAAGGCGCCGTCCCTTTTTCAAACTTCGCCCTTTATTATGTAGCCACGAGAGAGAGCGACATAAATTGAGTCGGACCGCCATTATACGATTTTCCAATATTTATTTTTCCACGATTTACCAAATTGAAAAGTTAGTTCGAAATTAATATTAATCGCGTAACTACCATTCAAGTCCACCAGGAAGGTGATAAATTATTCGAATTGACTTTTACTGGGTAATATTTGATAATATTTGAACAAGGGGAACCGTGAATGACCGGAAAACAAATATTATTACTTTAGGGGAAAAGACCAGTAATAATTATTAATGTGGAGCTTTGAAGTTGGGGAACTGATTATATTTATCGGCAATTGGGGACCAGATTTTGTTTGATAAAAAGACGCTGGTATCAAGTGAACTTTCCGGGATCAAAAATACAGCAACCGGAAGATCACCTACCAGAACCAAACCTGAAGAACAGGACCAGAAGGAGAGTAGTAGCTGTGATCATGGGTCATGACAAAATCAAATGGGCCGTTAGCTCATTTGAGCCCTACAAGGTAATGGGGCCTGATGGAATTTACCCGGTTCTTCCGTAGCAGGGACATACTGGCCCTACATCTTTATAGTATCTTCCAAGCATGTGCAAGGAGTATGGAGGACACCGGAAGCAGACTTCCTCCCAAAACCCCGACAGGAGGAATACACGGAAGCAAAATCATATCCTATGAG